TGTGTGTGTGTGTGTGTGTGTGTGTGTGTGTGTGTGTGTGTGTGTGTGTGTGTGTGTGTGTGTGTGTGTGTGTGTGTGGTATAAATGTGATGTGTAAACAGATGCCCCAGTGCAAGGTAGTAGGTAATTAAAGGTACAAATGAGGAGCAGGCAGAGATCTGGGAGCTTTGAGGAGAAAGCTCTTTCACTGAGGCTGGAAAGCTTGCTTCCTGGGGGAGGTGGTGTCCCAGGTGGCCCTGGCTCGGTAGGAGGGAGGGACGGACGAGAGGGTTTCAGCCCATTCAAAGCCTGGTGTTTGGTTGGAGCAAAGGGATGAAGCCGGGAGAGCGAGGAATGACTGGTGACAGAGAGGAGGCAGGTGCCCTTGGAATGCAGACAGTTAGAAGGGTGTAAGGTGAAATGAGGCTGGGCAGGCATGCCCCAGAGCTAGTTGGTAGAGGGCCTTCAATGTCCAGCTTAAGGGCCTCCACTTTCTCCAGTGGTCGGTGGGGGAGGGCAGGCCTTCAGACTCTCATCAGCTTCAGTTAGAGTCAGCATCTTGGGAGGGAGGGCCCCCATCCACTCTGATGATCTGATGACCTTCCCTCAGGATGGGGAGCTCATGGCATTGGGGCTGAAGACCCAGAGAAAGAAATGTCTTGGTTGAGAGGAAGGCCTGCTTTTCCTAGTTCCTTCCTAGCTCTGTAACCTTGAGTAAGTCACTTACCTCTGGGTCTCTGTAAACATAATACCTGTAGCATAAACATAATACCTGTAGCATCTTTCTTCTCCTGGAGTTGCTATAGGGACCCAATCAGAGGACATTCGGATAGGCTCTTTTTCTTTAAGCAGGAGGTACCAGCCGTAAGTGGAGTATCATTGTAGTATTTTCAGGGGAACTGAGGCTCAGGAAGGGATAGACTTGAGTTACCTGACAGTTTTTTTTTTCTTTTTTCAACCCTCTCTCCCATCCCCACCACCAGCCCCCACCTCCAGTTTCCTAAGCAAACACTACCCGGTACTCAGTGGATGTCGATACAGCCAGGGCCAAAGCTCACTCTGCCCTGGGAGGTTTGTCCTTGGGGTAGGGGCAGTCTGGTAGCCAGTCCCTGAGTCAGGCAGGCTTCTACTTGGGCTCTGTCCATGGCTCTGGGGGAAGTGAATAGGGGCTCTGAGAGGAGACAGAAGCTCTGCTAAGGCTCGTCTGACCTCCCCTCTACCCCCATGTGAAGCCTCAGTTTTCTCGCTTCTGCTACTTGGTGTTGGCCCATCGAGAGCTAGGGGCAGGGCTAGGAGTGTCTGTTATTTTTGTTTGTTTGTTTTGTTTTTGATTCAGCATAGCCAGGATTTAGGCCCTAGATCTTTCTAGGTCCTCTTCATAGCCCGGGTCCCAGAATTGCCCAAGACTTAGAGCTTGTACTGGGTGAGCACACAGGTAACTCCAATGGGTTTATAGATCTGGGAGTCCCTCCCGTCTCCCTTTCTGTGTCCCTCTGTCTCACTGGGGATGTTTTTGGGGCCATTTGGCTAACTCCTGATCTGGGCCCCAGAGTCCCAGGGATGGGGAACGAGATGAAACTGTTGAGGCGGGTCCTGGACGGAGGCTTTCAGTAAACAGCTGCTGCCATTCTTTTGCTGCCTTCTCTCCATCTCCTAATTTCTAGTTATTCTTTGGGGAGGGGGAAGGTGGTTATTGGGCTCATTACAGGTGGCATCCATAGTGCTTTAAGGCATATGAAGCACTTTACAAACATTTTATTTGATCCTCCCCACAGCCTTGGGAGGTAGGTGTGCTGTTACTATCCCTATTTTACAGATGAAGCAACCAGGGTTAAGTGACTTGCCCAGGGTTACACTGTGAAGTGTCTGAGGATAGATTTGAACTCAGGACCCCAGGTCCAGAACTCTATCCACTGTACCACCCGGCTGCCTCACTGTGAACCCTCATGAAAGCTGTGCTGGGTGTTCATTTCATGGATTTCCCTCAGGCCCAGCGCCTCACCCCTTCCCCATCTGAACTGGGCCCAGGGTGGTAGCCAGTTTGATCTCTGGAAAGGGGGTGGGAGGAAGGCTGTTCCAGTCCCATTCCCCAAAACAAAGAAACACACACTCACACGCGCACACAACACACACACACACTTAGACTCTGACACTCCCAACCTATTCCCCCAAACACACACACACACACACACTTAGACTCTGACACTCCCAACCTATTCCCCCAAACACACACACACACACACACACACTTAGACTCTTACACTCCCAACCTATTCCCCCAAACACACACTGTCACATTCACATACACACACACTCCCAACTCATTCCCCGAA